ATCCACTGAGCCAAACTGGCTAGGGCACAATGATCTCTTAATACCATTCACAATCACATTGCTTCAGTTGTCTCAAAACTGTCCCTGTTCTTTAAAAAAAATATTTTTCTTGATTTCAGAGAGGAAGGGAGAGCAAGAGAGAGAGAAACATCAATGATGAGAGGGAATCATTGATCGGCTGTGTCCTGCACTCCCCCTACTTGGGATCTAGCCCACAACCTGGGCATGTGCCCTGACCAGGAATTGAACCATGACCTCCTGGTTCATAGATTGATGCTCAACCACGGAGCCATGCTGGCTGGGCAAAACTACCCTTATTCTTTTGTTGTTGCTGTTAATCCTCAGTTGAGGATATTTTTCCATTGATTTTTAGAGAGAGTGGGAGGGAGAGGGAGAGATAAAGAGAAACATTGATGTGAGAGAGACACATTGATCGGTTGCCTCCTGCATGTACCCTGACCAGGGCCGGGGAACCTGCAACCAAGGTACATGCCCTTGACCAGAATCGAACCTGAGACTCTATACTGTTTCATTTGACTCACCCTCTGTTTCTACAGGCTGACACTCTATCCACTGAGCAAAACTGGCTAGGGCAAAACTATCCCTGTTCTTATCTTTCTCTGCTTCCACCCCCTTCTCTGACCAGCACCTCTGACTCTGTCTCTGCTCTGTCCCCACATATCCTGTCCATGTCACTCTCTGATTTGGGGCCTGCAGGTGTTCTTCACCACCTCCGCACATTCTCCTCCAGTGAGAAGAGTGAGTAGGTGGAGAGAAGTGTGGCTGTGAGGAAGAGGAGACCTCCCAGACCCGTGGGCCAGGAAAGCAGGCTGGAAGCCTCCTCAGTGGGAGTGGCTGGAGGGAGTGATTTGTCAGTTGCACCTTGTCAGGTGGCTCCTGGAAGAGGCAGGGCCTTGGGTGAACAGAAGGCCTCTACACTGTCCCGTTTGCCCCACGTTCTGTTTTCAGGAGGATACTCGGGCTCAGCGGCAACGGCTGCAGAAGCACCTGGCTGAACATCTGCGTCAGACCTGGGGCCAGCTGGGGCCATCCCCACAAGCCCGAGACTTGGGAGAGCTGCTGCAGGCCTGGGGTGCTGGGACCAAGACTGGTGCTCCCAAGGGCTCCCGCTTCACACATTCAGAGAAGTTCACCTTCCATCTGGTGGGTGGGCCTGAGTGAACAGTGGGCCTGCGGATGGGGCCAAGACTGGCTTGGATGGTTGTTTTATGTACAAACACCATACCTTATCCACACAGGTGCCTGTGTTCCCACCAGGTGTGGCCTATCCAAACTAGGGGCTAGTACTGAGGAGTCCAGTGGAGAAAGGGTGGAGGGGTGGGAACTATATAAGGATGGAAGTTCGTTGTGCAAACTCCAGGCTTCCCCAGGAAGTTTCCTCTGGGCACTCCTTGGATGGTCACCCAGAGGGGCACTCATCCTTCTCATGGGCAGTTGGGGCTTCAGAGATAGGGCAGGTGAGCAGGAGCTGTCAGGATCACGGAGGTTTCTTTGTGAGCAAACACTCTAGTCTGAGTTCGCAGAGAATGCCTTGATCCTCACATGGTCACAGTCTGATAGTCATCAGCTGTTGAGTGGGCATGGGTATGACTATTGGTCATCAGCTATTTAATGGGCTGGGAAGGTGCTCATGGGGGTTGTTGAGGCTGGGCTGTGAGGGGCAAGGCCTTCCTTGACAGCGAGATGCTCCCTTCTCACTCCCCCAGGAGCCTGAGGCCCAGGCAGCCCAGGTGTCAGAGGTGCTGTCCACCTCCCGGTGGCCTGAACAGGTGAGCAGAGCAGTGAGGTGTGTCCTGGCCCCTTGCCTGTCTACTGGGCCCGACACCCTGACCCTGACTGGCTTGTTCCTCCCAGGACACGTGGGCAGCTCAAGAGCAGGAGCTGGAAGCCCTTCAGGAGCAGCTAGAGGGAGTGAATCGTAATATTGAAGAGATTGGAGCCAGCATGAAGACGCTGGGAATCGGCCTTGTGCAGGTGCGGGTGGGGCTGCTGTCTGGGGTCCAGTCACAAGTCTGGGCTAGAGAGCTAGGGTGGGGGAGAGGGGCTTGAGGGGGATGAGAGGTACTCTGTAGAGGTCTGTAGGTATCAGAAGGATTTATAGGGGATGTGTGGTCTCTTGAGGGTTCAGGAGAATCGAGGGGGATGTATGATTCAGGGCTTGGTGGACCTGTAGGGGTGAGAGTGCCTGTGAGCATTCGTCAGGCCTTGCCAAGTGTCTGAGAATCAGGAGATGTGTGGGCATCTGTGGGGCATGATGGGTCTATACGGGCAGGAGGTTTTGGGGCTTGTCAGGGCTTCTGCGGGTCAGCGTGGAGGTGGAGGAGTCACAGGGGCCTGTGGGTGCCCATTTCTGCGTATAGGTCTCTGTCGCTCTCAGGAGGGGCCAAGGGGTCCATAGGGGCTGGAGGGGTGTGGCATTATCTATGGGGGCTCGGACTGGGCCAGGGCTTCCCAGGCTCAGTGTGGGCTGGGAGCCTGTGGTGTGTGTTCGAACTCCCCCACTGACTGGGACTGGGAGTCCTGGGCTACCAGGTGGAGACCGAGTGTCGGCAGACTGAGCTCAGCATGGCCGAGAGGGAGCAGGCCCTGCGCCTGAAGAGCCGGGCGGTGGAGCTGCTGCCAGATGGGGCTGCCAACCTTGCCAAGCTGCAGGTGGGGCTGGGGCTGGGGTTGGGCTGGGGCTGGGCCAGGAGGGTCAGAGGTGGAAGTGCCCAGACTGTGTGACATCTACCCTCCTACCACCATTCCCAGCTCGTGGTAGAGAGTAGTGCCCAGCGGGTCATCCATTTGGCGGGCCAGTGGGAAAAGCACCGGGTCCCGCTCCTTGCTGAGTACCGCCACCTCCGAAAGCTCCAGGATTGCAGAGAGGTAGGTGGTGGGGTCCTGGGCTGTAGGTGGGATAGGTTTGGTATTTTCCTAGGAGGCCATCCCCATGCTCTGCTTACTGCCCTCTACCTGTGGGGTCTTGACAGCTGGAATCTTCTCGACGGCTGGCAGAGATCCAGGAGCTGCACCAGAGTGTTCGGGCAGCTGCTGAGGAGGCTCGCAGGAAGGAAGAGGTCTATAAGCAGCTGGTAAGGCCTGTTCCGAAGCCCTGAGGGGGCTCAGAGTGGGTGGGGGTGGGTCCTGGGGAGTGCCTGCCGTGTCTCTGCCTAGGTGTCCGAGCTGGAGACCCTGCCCAGAGACGTGTCCCGGCTGGCCTATACCCAGCGCATCCTGGAGATTGTGGGCAATATCCGGAAGCAAAAGGAAGAGATCACTAAGGTGCGCTGCCATGGCCATGGAGGGTGGGTCCTATGGGCAGACATGCCCAAAGGGCAAATGTGTGTTGTGTGGCTGCACAGGGATTCCACACCCTCTGATAGGCAGAGCCACACCATGACCCAAAGCAGTCCCACCCAGTACACTCCAGTTCCCACTGACACAGTGACACAGGCCCTGTCTGGATGTGAGCTCATGTGCAGGAAAGCCTTTAGCTGGTCAGCTGCCTACCCCAGACATAGGCTCACGGCCCTGGTCTCTGCCAGATCTTGTCTGATACAAAGGAGCTTCAGAAGGAAATCAACTCCCTGTCTGGGAAGCTGGACCGGACGTTTGCGGTGACTGATGAGCTTGTGTTCAAGGTGTGGGGCAGGCGGGGTCGGGTGGAGGGGGGGCGTGGGGCTGAGCTGCTGCCTGCCCATGTGCTCATGGGCTGCCTTGGGCCTAGGCCCTATGTGAGCCTTGCAGGTACACTGATGCTCAGGCCTGGCTTTGCTCCATGGAGGATGTAGTCATGGGGGTGGGAGAGGGTGGCCTTGTGGGGTCCTGCAGGTGGTGTGTAGGGGGGCAGCCCACTGATACCTTTGAGGTCCTTTCTGTCTGCTCAGGATGCCAAGAAGGATGATGCTGTTCGGAAGGCCTACAAGTATCTAGCTGCCCTGCATGAGGTGAGTGGAGAAGCATGCCTTGGGCTGGCTGGGGAGGGGCCAGGTTGGGGGCGCAAGCCTTATCTTCCTGCTGTTCCCAGAACTGCAGCCAGCTCATCCAGACCATTGAGGACACAGGCACCATCATGCGTGAGGTTCGAGACCTTGAGGAGCAGGTGAGGCCTGGGGGTGGGAGGGGAAACCAAGGCAGGCCAGGGGACAGCTCAGTTTGTCCCATGACAGGCTATGGAAGCAGACACAGCTTATGGCTGGAGTCTCTGCCCTGCCCCTTAGCCATGCACTTGACCTGGAAAAGGTCGGTGGCCTGTTCTGAGCTCCAGCTTCCACCTCAAAGGCTCCTATGGCTGCCTCCCAGGGGCGTTGGCAGAGGTTTCAGCTTGAGTATGTATGTGGTGGGTAATCCTACCACGTAGGGATGACACACAAAAAGGCCTGGCAGTGGGACAGAGAAGACTTTGTTAGGGGTGGGAGGAGCCCAGGAAGGGCCCCGAGTGGCTATGATGGAGGGGTGGCAAGCAGGAGCTGGGAAAGAGGGCCTGCTTGCTGAAGGGACATCACTCATGTTGCCTAGATCGAGACGGAGATGGGCAAGAAGACCCTCAGCAACCTGGAGAAGATCCAAGAGGACTATCGGGCCCTTCGCCAGGAGAATGCTGGCCTCCTGGGGCGGGTCCGTGAGACCTGAGGGGCAGCAGGCAGAGATCTCCCTCACCCCAGGCTTCAGCAGGGATTTGCGGGGTTGGAAGTGATGGCCAGGCGCTTGCCCTAGCTGTTCCCTGTGTTTGCTGTCCAGTCCCTCCTGCTGTGGTGACACCTGCCCACCTGACCCCAACCCTTATTTGGGGTGAACATCCAGACACTGGGAGCTTGGCTGCACTTTATTGGGGACAGTACTGGGGGTTGGGGCCTTCGATCCCAAATAAATGAGGGGCTCTGTCTGCAGTGTAAGCTGAGGCATGGATGGGGGCACAGGGCTCAGGGCGGGGCAGGGGTGGATGGCAGGTGAGACCCAGGGCACGTTTTGGCGAGTCAGTGTACGTGACCATGTGTGTCGTGTGGGACTCAAGACCCACTGGGGCGCTGTGTGGGTGTGCGTGGTGTGCAGGTGAGTTCTAATGGACCGTGTGACCAAGTGTAAGTGGTAGGAACTGCGTAAGACTGTGTGTGACTGGTATGTGTCTATGTGGCTTTCTAGGACCTGAGACCCTGAAGGCACTAAGGCTGCTTCTGTGTGGGTGTGTAGGCATCCCCCCTGTGATGCACCTAGGGGCCTGTAGGCTGGCTGAGGGAGTGTGCTTCGGGGTATGTGGGTTGACAGGCGTACTCAGGTGCGATTGTCCGTGTGACTGCAGATTTGAGGTTGTGTGAGTGTACTGAGACAGGCTCTTTGTTTGGGGGTTTGTATGAAGTCCAAGCGACAGGATTGTGACTTTTTTTCAGCCCTAGGTTGCCTGTGAGTGCCCAAGGCAGGCTGTGTGTGTGGTCAATTGTGAAGGCTCAGTTTGCCTGGAGAGCCTGTCGTGGGGGGCTATGATGGGAGTGCGGGGTTGAGGTCCCTCTGAGCAGCCTTGGTGCAGAGCATATGATTCGGGGAGGGGGGGTAGTCAGCTTGGTAGTAGGGTCCCTGCACGCACTTCTTGGTCGCTGCGAGTATGTCCGGGCCTGTCACCCCCGCCCCCAGCCACTTTTGCCCCACATGTTGGCCCCTGTCCTTCCTTCCTTTCCTTGGCTTGCAGTCAGGGGCCAGCTAGGGGGTTGGAACACCTGCTGGGCCTCTGGCTCCTCTTCTTGCGGAATTCAAACTCATCCACGGTCCACACAGCCCCCTTTTCGCTCTCCACCCGCACGAAGCACTTGTGCAGGCTCAGGTTGTGGCGGATGGCATTCTGTGGAAGGAGGAGCAGCCAGTCAGGCCGGGGTGGAGGCAATGGGTGGGCCATCATCCTCTGATGTCAGCAGTCTCTACTAAAAACCAGCCTCCTGCCCCTTCCCATCATGTTTGCAAGCCCAGCCCCAGGCTTGGCCCAGTACTGGTAGCATTTGAGACCATCCTGGCCCTGCCACCTCCAGAGGTACTCACCTTCCAGGTGGCAGGGTGGTTTCTGAAGAAGGCGAACATGCGTGTGAACCAGTGATAGATCTCATTGAGTGTTCGCTGCTTCTCAGGAGCCTCCAGGATGGCCTGGAATTCAGGGGTATGGGGGTAAGGGCATGTGCTCCCCCAAAGTTGGGCTGAGAGGGGCATCTGACATGGGGTGGAAATGGCGCAGGAGAAGGGAGGGAGGGCAATGGTGTGGAGGTGATGGATCAGAGACAGGGTTAGAAGTGGGGTGAGAATGGGCCGGGATGGGGTTAGGTAAAGGATCAGGGCTGAGTTTAGAGCAGAGTTCAACTCAGGGTTAGGGCTGGAGTTAGGTTAAAGGTCTGGGATGGGGTTGGAGTGGGGGTTCTCTATAGGGGTGAGGTTTCAAGGTTTGGGAAGATTAAGGGCTAGGGGTATGGTCAGGTTAAGGGTTTGGAAGATGTAAAGGGCCAGGCAGAGTTAAAGGTCAGGGAAGGGGTTGGTTAGACTCAGGCTGGGGATGGACTATGACTATTCATGGGGCATATAACAGGATGCCAGGTGGCATTAGGTTAGGAGTCAGAGATTGGCCTAGTTACCTAGTTATCTATTTTATGGGTCAGGGATGTGGTTAGGCTCAGGATCAAGAATGAGGTTAGTTGTGGTGAAGTTGAGGTTAATTGTGTATAGTTGTTTAGGGACAGGGCTGGAGTTAGGTGTGGAGTGAGGCTAAGGGTCAGGGTATTTGATCTTTTTGGATGTAGGAATGGGATTAAGTTAAGGGGCAGTTATTACAGTTGCAATGATGTTCAGGGTCAGGATGGGGCCAGGTAGGAGACTGTGTGGCATTGTGTGGGGGTTAGGTTCAGGTTCAGGTTTGGTGTTAGGTATGAGCCTAAGTTGAAAGTCTGAGTGGGCTCTGGTGAAGGTTCTGGGAAGGCATTAGGGAGATTCAGATGAAGGGGTTTGGATGGGGTGAAGTTAAAGGTCAGATAGGTGTTAAAAGGAAGAGGTTAGGGATGGGGTCTAGCTGGGGGATGTGTTGACATACTGGGGCACATCGGGGATGGGAAAGAATTAGGGTAATACCTAGAAGGGGTTTAAGGCAAGGGGCAGAGATCTGATTAGTGTTCGGGTGATTTTACAGCTTTGGAAGGCGGATAGGTATGGGGTTGAGGTGGACATCAGGAAAGGAGTGGGTTTAAGGCCAGCATTTGGCCTGCTTTGGCATGGGTGATGGTTTAGGTTTGGGGGTGGGGGCAGGTCTGAGGTGAAGCTGGCACGGGGAATCACATCTGAGGTGTAGTTTTTTTTTTTTTTCATGCAGGAGCCCTCCCTGGGGGTGCTTAGAGGGAGGCTGGAGTTTGGGAGGCAGGTCCCCACCCCGTCTTTCTCTTCCTTCTTGGCCTGCACTGCCCTGCTTACCCAGCGGATGAGAGTGGCATAGGTGAACGGGGGCCGCATGTTATGGAACTTGAAGTAGTCCATGTTGTGGAAGAACTCTGTCCAAGGGGGGAGAGGAGTCAGGCCCCACCTAAACCTCCTCACTCCCTCTCCTACCCTCTGCTCTTCCCATGATCAGTTACTGTTTGCTGAGCACTGGATGTAACTTGTGTCACTTACTCTGTACCACTCCCACCAAAATGGGGTGTAACCTCTCAGAGGTTTAAAAGAAGGGAAGTAACTTACACACCAAAAAGACGTAACTGTTAAATGGTAGAACCAGGATGACACTCAAGAGCCCTGATCCCTGGTAAACCCACAGCCCAGGCGTTTTGGGTAGTAGGGGATTGGTGAACTTGGACAAATCACCCCATTTTCCCTTGAGGGGGAGAGGGAGAGTCCCTAGAAATTACATAGGTAGTTCCCTCCCTTCTCTATGACGACCAAATGGAATAGCTGAAGCCCCAATGCCCAGGGGAGATAGGGCTAGACATCTGAGATCCTAATGGGAGCCTACAGGCCACGGACACCCGGAGAGGAAGCTTTGCAAGCAGATGTGCTTGTCCAAAGGCCAGGTGGTGGTGGTGGGGAAGAACAGTATGGAGCCCCACTCCATTGCATGTCAGTCTGGGGGGTCAGGGTTTCAGGGACACCATGCAGGGCACAGACTATTCTTACCTGGGAATGTACTATGTCCATGGCTGCCCCAGAGGTGCCTCCGCACAGCAAACAGGCCATTGGGGCCCTCCTGGGGGCCAGGCCAGGCCGGAAGGGTGGTGCCCGGGGTGCCAGCAGCTACAATGCAGCAGGAGCCCTTGTCAGATGACACCTGGGTGTGGTGAGGGAGAGGTTGGTGACCTGGAGGCTGAAACTTTCCACTTGAATTTTAAATAAGTGAGTGTTTTTAAAACTAAGGGTGCCATGCCCTGGCCAGTGTGGCTCAGTTGGTTGAGTGTTGTCCCAAAAGGTCACCAGTTCAATTCCTGGTCAGGGCACATGTCCAGGTTTCTCTCTCATGTCTCTCTCTCCCTCTCTTTCATCAATTAAAAACACACACAAAACAAAACACTTAAAAGCAAGGGTGCTCTCTTCTCAACTCCAGTCTGATATGTATTCCCACAAAGCAGCATGAGCTGTGTTTATCAGACTGTGGTGTGGGCACGAGTGTGTGTGTAGCTCACCAATGCTGGGGGTCTTGAGCTGGGGTTGAATTGGGCTCCTCTATTACCCAAGTCACTTATGTCTGCCTGGCCTCAATTTCCCTCATCTGGGGGTTAGGGATGATAGCAGTGCCTACATTACAGTGGCATCGTGAGGACTGAATAAGTTCACACCAGCCAAGGGATCAGAAGTGATGCCTGTGACCCGTCACCCAGGGCCCACCTCATGGGCATGTGACCTGTACAGCCAGCCATACAGGGCCCTCCCTTTGTTTAATGCTCTGTGGCTGCCACCTTGAAATCTGAGGCCTGCATTTTAATTTTTCCCTGGGCCCTGCAAGTTATATAGCCAGTCCTGCCAGTGACACACAGTCTGCGTTCATTAAGTGTCTGGCTACTTGATGTGGCTTTGAAAACAAGGTTATGATATTTCAAGAGCTTAGGGTCAGAGGGGTTGTAAGTGGAGGGGCACAGATTCTCAGATCTGGGCATGTTTGGAGCTGGGAACAGGGGCCCACAGATCCCAGGGCCTGGGTGTAAGGATAGGTCCCCTGCACACTGCAGAGCCCTTCCCTGTTCCCTTCCACCAGCAGTCTGTGCTGCCATGAGGCCTGGGGTGACTTACCACAGATGGAGGCGTGGTCAGGGCCATCTTCCCAGCCAGGTGGGCCTGCATAGCACCCAGCTTCTCCTTCTCCAGCACCAGCTGTGAGGACAGGCACACAGTGAAACCTCAACCTGCCCTCTTTCCACCATATTTTTTTTCAGGCTATGTTCTTCTCTGGGAGTGCCCTTCCCCCTTCCTTCCTTTATGTTAGTCTCCATCCTGGGTGAGCTCAGCTTCTGGCACAGGGTGGACATAAGGTTTGCCCACCATCCCCCCACCGTCACCCCCGGCCCCATGTCACCTGCTGCTCCAGAGACTGCACCACCTCCCTCTGGAGGAGACACTGTGCCCTGCCCTTCTCATCCAGGAGATGGTCTGCCTGGCAGTGCCTGGGGAGAGGGAAGAGTCCATGCAGGTGACCATGGCAGACCTGGCCTCGTGGCTCAATGTTCTCAATGGGGAGGGCTCAGCCTCTAACCCCTCTACCTCAGTCTCCCTCTCACACCATTCCTTCAACACATGCTACTTGGTATCTCCTTTGTGCCAGGCCTGAGCTGGCTACTTGAGCCTGGCCAGGGTGTTGGAGATGACTTAGAAGGAGGTAAGCTGGAAGCAGCCAGATAGGTGAGAGCAGGAAAGGCATTCAGATGGAGGGAAGGCCTCGTGGTGAAGAGGATAGGATACATTGAGTTGCCAGTGATAGTTGGGTAGGGTTGGAGAAAGTGTGTGACTGTGTGTGTGTGTGTGTGTAGTATCTGGGGGTATCTTGTATCTGGTTGTGATGAGGCTAAGAAGAGGCAGCAAAAGCCATTTTGAGGAGCTGAGACTTTGGGGATCAATAAAATCAGCCTGGTGTGTCGGCATGACAGGTAGAAGGGCAAAGCAGGTAGGAGTGTGGATTCTGAAGCCTGGCTGCCTGGGTTCAAATCCCAGCTCTGTCACTCAGGAACTTGGTAATCTTGATCAACACACTGAACCTCTTTGGCCTGTTTCTTAGTCTGTAATATAATAGTACAGGTAAATAATAGTATACATTATTATGCCCCATATACAGATGAGAAAACCAAGGCTCAGGGAAGCTAAGCAACTTGCCCAAGATCTTATAGCCAGTGATGGACAGAGCCTGGATTTGAATTCTCAGTCTCAGCTTTTGCCTCTTTTTTTTTTTTTTTTAAATCCTTACCAAGGAGATTTTATATATATATAATTTTTAAAAATATATTTTATTGATTTTTTACAGAGAGGAAGGGAGAGGGAACATCGATGAGAAAGAAACATCGATGAGAAAGAAACATCGATCAGCTGCCTCCTGTACACCCTCCACTGGGGATATGCCCGCAACCAAGGCACATGCCCTTTACTTGAATCGAACCTGGGACCCCTCAGTCCGCAGGCCGATGCTCTATCCACCGAGCCAAACCAGTCAGGGCCCGAGGATATATTTTCCATAGATTTTTAGAGAGAATGGAAAGGGAGGGAGTGTGTGTGAGAGAGACATCGATGTGAAAGACACATGGATATCTTGCACATGCAGGAGATTGTAGGTATGTACTGGTACTGGGATTGTAGGTACATACCCTTGACCAGGAATTGAACCCACAACCCTTTAGTGTGCAGGCCGATGCTCCAACCACTTAGCACAGCAGCCAGGGCTCAGCTTTTGCCTCTTTTATCAAATTACTACCTACCGGGGTGAGGCCTGAGCTGAGACCTGCACCCAAGACCTCCTCCCACAAACTGGGGACCGCTCTGGACTGGAATAGGCCTGGGCCACTCACTTGAGGAAGTCCTCCGGCTCCTCAAAGACCTTCTCACATCCGGGCCACTTGCAGACACCATTTGCCAGCAGTGAGTAGGAGCCCTGGGGCACGGTCGAAAGGGTGCTGGGGGGACAGAAGGTGTCAGGGGAGGGAATACCAAGGCAAGGGTCCTTCCCAGCTTTTCCCACTGACCTGTCTTTCTTGGGTGCACCAGGGCTTGGGAAGGTGCAGAGCAATGCTGGTTCCCTGGACACCCACTCCAGGCTGGCCATGTTGATCCCTGTAGGTAGGGACAGGGCACCTTTGGAGACAGAGACTATGAACTGGGCTCTGGAGCTTGGCCCACAAGGCCTCTCCTTTTGAGCTTCCCACCCTCCTGAGCCTCTGGCGTCCCTAACGCCCAAGGTTTTTGGTGGAACAGCTCAAAGACTGCCATTCACAAGTGCTGACATTTTGATGAACTCTGCAAAGATCTGGTTCCGTGATTTTGATGTTCTGTACCCTTCAGGTTCTGAGCCTGACATTTTTCGGAGGTTGGAGTTTCCGAGATGATAAAAGCTGACACCTAACACTTGAGGGCCACAATTCAGCAGCCTACACTGCTCATAGTCAAGGACTTGGGGGGCTCTGGGATTCTGTGGGGCTGTGGGGTGTGGTATTACCAGGTGGCAGGCCAGGCCGGGCCTTGAGAGAGAAGACCCCAGTGGCAGCAGTGGGTGGCGGGAGGCTGATCATAGCTGGTCTTTCCAGTGGGTGCACCTGCAGCATGGGGGTCCGGGCATGGGCATCCACTGTTGAGAGCTGGGGGCATATATGGACTATGGTTCCACCTGGCCTCCTCCCAATTCCCCCACCTACTCCCTCCTCCCTGCCCAGTCACGGGCCATACCTGGTGCATGAAGTGTGGCCTTTCTTGGAGGAGTGCCTGCAAGTGGGGCGAAGGACCCAGCCGTGTTCCAGAAGGTGCCACCATGACTAGGGGCACTGTGGGCAGCTGGGGGGAGAAAGCAGGCAGGAGAGATGCTGTCCTCATCCTCACTGTTCTAAATGTTGAATTCATATGTTCCTCACCACAACCTCACGTGGTAGGTGCTAGGACCATCCCCTTTATACATATGTAAAAACTCAACCTCAGGGAGATTGAGTGACTTTCACAAGATCAACCAACTAATAAGTGGCAGAACTGGCCTCAACTCTGTCATCTCACATCCTAGGGCCCCATCCTCTTTTCTGTCACATGGGGATGGGGACACATGGCCATACCTGTGGGACCATGATAAAGTCTTCTCTCCTGAGAGGGGTTGGGAGTTTGGGGAGAGCCTCGGATCTCTGAGACCTGCTAAGTGGGGACTTTCTTAGCCCCGTGACATCTGCATAAGTCACAGACTTGCCTGGGACCCAGAAAACCACTTCCTGTTCCCCAGCCGGGCCCCCCGCCCGGTGCCACAGTAAAGGTCGGCACCTGTAGGCCCAGGTACTCCACCCTGCTTGCTCCATCCTGGGCCCCGGGCCTCACCTGCAGCTGTGATGGTGGCATGGGGTTCAAGGAGGAGGAGGAGGCATGGGCCCCACCTCGGAGGTCCCGGCCCTGGAAGGTTGTCCCCGGGCCCTTGGCCCCCAGCAGGTCTGAGGCCTTGGGTGCAGCCCTCCAGCTGGACGAGACTCCTGGGGATGGGCTGAGCACCAAGGAAGGGGCCAAGGGCTTGGCAGGCCTGGGGTTGGGCATTGGGTCCTTGTCCAAGGTCAGGCTGTAGAGACATAGGGGAAGGAGTTATACATGTGTTGGTGGTGTGCAAAATACTCATCCACCTGAACCATGTGGACACCCCCTCTGGTCAGAGCAGTCATTGGCTGGGACATGTCCCGAAGTATCCCACAATTAGACCCCAGCTCTAATCATGGGTGCATGCACACATACACACACATTGGTGTCAGGAACATGGGTGTGTGTGTGTGTGTGTGTGTGTGTCCACCCACATGTCCCATGTGCAGACTTGCACCATTCAGCATGTGGCTTTCCTGCACATGCTGGCACAGCCCTGGTGGGGATGTGTTCTCCAGAGGGCAGCTGGGGGTTCATGGTGGTTTGTGGGGCCTCAGCCAGGGTAGGTCTCAGCTTCTTCCCCCACCACTTGAGGCCTTGAATTGAGGCCTCAGCCCTCCAGTCCTCCCTGAACCTGGCATCGGTCACACAACTTTTGCTAATCCCACAATCTTTGCTGATCCCACTGGGGCTGGTCTCTGATTTTCTTCTGGGAACATAATTTTACCCCAGTGACTTGGGCATATCTGGGAGTAGCAGGGGACGTGGACTCAAAAGATCCCGCTGGTTGCTGTGAAGGGACAGACTCTAAGAAGGTGAGGGTAGAAATAGAGGACTAGTGAGGAAGCTACTGCAACAGTCCCAGTAAGTGACGATGGTAGCACAGACCAGGATGGTGACAGTGGAGATGGTGAGAAGTGGGTGGATTCTGAGCATGTTTGGAAGGTGGAGTCAGAAAACTTTCTGGTAGCTTGGATCTGGGGCTGAGAGAGAGAGAGTCAAAGTGACAGAGCAGCTGTAGGGACAGAGCTGATGGGACCTGGGATGAGGGAGATGGGGGAAACAAAGTAGGGGGGTGATGATGATCCAGGTGTGGGTGAACATGAAGAGTCTGGCATTAGACATACTAGTGGAAATGCTGAATGGACGGCTGAGTACAGGAGTCTGGTCATCTCTGGGCTCTACCCTGCACAGAACTGACATGGCAGGTGCCAGACGAGGAGAGACAGGCTCTCTTGAGCCGGGGCCTGTGGGAGCTCCTCAATTCAGTCCCTATCAGAATCTACCCCCAGCCTGCCCCAAAGCCTTTGTGCTCATGCCGTTTGGCTTGCCTGAAATGCCCACTCTTCCTCCTCTTCCCCTGTCCAAGGCCAATCCAGAAAGCCCTTCATAGTGGCTCTAGAACCCTATACTTCCCAACAGGCAGGGCTTTGGTTTCCCAGAATCCTGTAATCCCAGTCCTAGAGGAAGTCAGAGCTAGAAGGGACTGCCCAGTCCAACCTCCATGTTACTGAAGAGGACACCCAGGTGCAGCATTCCACAGTTCCATGGTGACTTGGGAGCTCCACTGCTTTCTCCAGAAAGGTTGTGTGTGTGTGTCCACATTTCACAGGCCCCCTGCTGTGGGGCTGTGTGTGTCTCCTGCATCACCCAACAGTACAGGGTGGGGCAAACAGCTGCGGAGAACAGCTTGCACCTTCCTTTCTTTGCTGTCAGCCATGGGGGTTGTCAGAGCTGTGGTGCTGAGGGAGGTGGGGTGAAAATTCAGATCCTCAACTCTTAGTCTCCTCTCGGGGTTAGAACATTACCGTGTGAGAAACAGGAGCCTGGGCCTCTGAAGGCTCAGGATAATAGCCTGAGAGAACATCAGTGACAACGAGGAGGTACGTGAAGGAATGAGCGGACGAATGAAGGTGGAAATCAGGGTGATGCTTCTACAAGCCAAGGAATGCCAAAAATTACCAGGAAACCATGAGAAGCTAGGAGGGAGGCCTGGACACTTTCCCCCTCACTGCTGTAGAAGGAGCCAATCCTGCCATCACCTTGATCTAGGACTTCAGGCCTCCAGAACCAAGACAATACATTTCTGTTAAGTCACCCTGTTTGTGGTACTTTGTTACAGAAGTAGAGCAAACTAGTGAGTGGATGTTTTCCATTACCCTGGCGTGGTCCGCACAGCTTCCTGCGGTCACTTCTGAAGCTGCCTGGACAGTTGGCCAGAGCTTATAAGAAATCTCCTCCCCAAACACATGTGGAATGGCCTGACTCAGGGAAGCAGAGATACATTCTGAGAAAGGGGACATGGGTATGGTCTGTCTGGTAGTGGGGTACGGGAGGGCTGGGCTGGGCAGCCAGCTTCCTGCACTGTCTGGTGGGGCATCCCTTTCTGACTATTTCTCAGAAGACGCATGGAGGATGTTTCTGGGACATAGATTGTGTTTTCATATCGGGGTCTGCATCTGGGCCCTGTTGTCAGAGCCTCCAACTTCCCCAGATTTTTCCGCCATTGACGTCACAGCGGCCGGATGCGCTGGGCTTCATCGGCACGGAGGAGGAAGACAAAGGGGCAGACACCCAACCCCACAGGTTTCGTTCCGAGAATTGGCTGGCCCATCCTTCAGCTGGTGTGGCCCAGGTGGGGTGATGAGGGTGCTGGCGGATGTGGTGAGTGACGTCCATCTGGCCACCATGACAAGCCCTGGGCCCTGTAGACCTGGCCCTTCTCAGGCAAGAATAGGCCCAAGATTTGAGGCTTGAGGAGTGCCATGCAGATCCTACAGATACTGGGACCCTCAGGGTCTTCAAATGGTATTACACCAGAACCCCATAGTCATGGGACATCATTACTTAGATTCAAAGGATCCCAGAATCTCAAACCCACAGACTCTATGGGGTCCATGGGTCCAACTTCTTAGTATGTGAACCAATGTTCCTGGTATCCAAACATACTGAAACTCCCAAAAGGACGGAAAGCTCACTACTTCATTGGGTCTTTCACCTACCAGGCCTGGAATTGCAATAACAACCCCCCTCCCCCAGTCTCCATCCCAAGTTCTGTGAAGGCAGGAGAGTCAGGATTACCCCCTCTCCTTTCCCCAGCCTGGAGCCAGGCTCTGCTACTAACTAGCTACAATTCTCTTCAGGCTCCTATGTGAATTGGGACAATAACAATCCCCATCTTCCATGAAATGCTTAGCAAAATGTCAGTGATCTATGAATGGACACTGCAGGACCTCAGACTCCCTGTCCATTCTGGGACAATTCTGGCCAGACAATGTGCCAGAGATGGGGAAGGAAGACAGGGGAGGTTGAGGCTGGTGCACCTTTGGTGAGGGCCTTGTCGTGGGAAGCAGGAAAAGCCGTGGCCTTTGCTAGTAGAGATACCACCACCAGGCTCTCCGGAAAGGCTCTGGGAACCGGTGCCAACTCTGGGGACATGGCTGAGCTCTGTCCATAGTCAGACCCACTGACCGATGTCCTCCTAGTAACACCACCCTCTGCCCACGAGGCCTCCTTTCCCATGAGGCCCCGGGACCCACCCAGCTAGCTCTTGGGAGGCTAAGCCCCACACTGTGACCATGGATCCTCCTGCCTTAGTGAGGGTCCCACCTGTGAGAAGACAGAATGAGGAATGGCAACAGATGGGGGACAACCCATGTCCCCTTGCCCCCTCATGGATGCTGAGAGGTAAACTGAAGCTCAGAGTAGGGGAGAGAGACAGAGCAACGCTTCCACTGAGAGTCTTAAGAGCTGAGATAGGGTCTCAAATCTGCCAATGTATTTCTGTGAGGACTTGGGAGAGGCCCTCTCACCCATTTCTGGGCTTTAATTTGCTCCTCTTATACACTGGGAAGGGGAGAGGTGTGGAATAGGTGAGGGCCAGGGCCCTTCCACTCTGTGTCAGGGTGAGTTGTTAGGTGTAGAGCTTCAAGTTGACAACTGCTCCTCTATCCAGGGGACTGAGAGACAGGGATATATAGAGACTCATAGACACAAAGAGAGACACAAAGAGACAGACATAGGAGAAGAGAGACACAGAACAAGAGATATGAAGAGAGATGGAGAGACCTGAGGTGGGACAGAGATAGAGTGAGAGACAAAGAACAATAGAGACAGTGAGAGATTCTGAGAGGAGAAACACACACACACACACACACACACACACACACACACACACACATATATATATATATATGGAGAGAGAGAGAGAGAGAGAGAGAGAGAGAGAGAGAGAGAGAGAGAGAATGCCCCAAATAAGAACAGTTGCTGGCCTCTGGATGGTGCCTGAAATGATGAGGAATAACAAAGGGCAACATGAGGGCTACACCTAGGGCTGGGTATTGTATTGTGTTGCAAAGCAATAATCAGCAAAGTGGTATGGCTCTAGTATAAGAGCAGGCACTGAGGAACAGAACAGAAAAGAAAGCCCAAACACAGACCCATGACTACAGGGAATGGAGTTTGTGATGACTGCCCAAACTGGGGGATGGTGTAGGATAGATGGTTTAATAAATGTTTCTGGGATAATTAAGGGAAAAATAAAATGATTGAGTGAACCATTAGTCCATTTTCCCACTAACCCCTCCCTGCCCAGTTTGAAATATCAGCATCATCATATAACCTAAAATAAATTCCAGATCCATTAAAAAGATAAATAATAATATCTAATATGCATCTTGGGTTTATTGTATTCCAGGCCCTATGCTAAGAACTTAACATGGTTAATAGATTTAATTCTCACAACCACCTTTGAGGTAGATACTATTATTACTATCACAGTATGTATGAGGAAATGGAGGTACAGAAAGTTTAGATGCCTGGCTAAAAATCACACAGATGGCTTGGGGTGAGGCTGGGTTTGTCACAGACAGTCTGACTCCAACACATGTGAACACATCTCATTTTCAAGTGGGAAAGGACTTTCTAAGCACAAAACCAAAGACAGTAACCACAGAAGAAAAGGCTAATCTATTTGACTATATAAAAACATCACAAGTATCACAAAACACTGTGAAAAAATAGACAAAAGAAAATATTTGCTATATATGTAGGGCTGATGGAAGGTTAATGTCCTTTTAAATAAAGAGCTATGGTAAATCAATAAGAAAAAAAGATGAACACCCTTTTAGGATGAAGGACACCAGACCCCCCAAAGCACAAATAGTCAATAAACAGTTAAGTAATCAAAGAATGTAAATTTCAACAATGTGGTAATTTTTTTCTTACCTGTTATGTTGAGAAAAGGATTTAAAAATGACAATACCCACCCAGGGTTAGATTGAGTAGAGGGAGCATAAAACAGCACAACCTTTGGAAGAACAGTTTGCAAAGAGGGTCAGAAACCTTAAAAATGCACACACCCTTTGCCATAAGAACTCTATTTTCAGGAATCCAAGGGACTAATCAGGGATGATTATGGGGGAAAACGAGAAACAACCCAGATGTCCAGTGATGGGCATTTGGTCGAATCAATCATGGTTCATGCCAATGTGAGGTCAGTTTTGACATCTGTGAACGATCATATGTTGAAACAATTTTTAGTGATCTACAAAAATGCTCCTATTAATTGAATAAAACAGTAACAAAGCCAATAAATAGTGTGATTCTAATTGAGTTAAAAAATACTAACAGCTAAAACTTTTTGAGCACTTGCTAAGCCTGCAGAGACGAACTCATCCCAGCCTTGAACAGCCTGTTCTGTTCCTGGACATGGATTCTGGACACACACACACACACACACACACACACAAGGTCCTGGGATTAGGACCACACAGTTAAACCACAGTTGACAATGGCATCAAGTGCCCTCCAGGAGGGTCTCCTTTTATACAAGAACAAGTTCAGTTGAGTCCACAACCTGACCCGACAGCTCATGGTCCTCCTTTGATCCGAGCACACAAAATTGATGATCATTCTTATAAAATGTAAATGTCCTCATCAGCATTATTCAACACACTGTTATTGAGCTCCAACTGTGTATAAAGTTCTGTGCCGTATGCTGGGTGGGAAGGCAAGACAAGAGAGCAGGTGAGATGGTGGGAGAAAGACTGAGGAAAGGAATCAGATGGAGTGTGGTCAAGACAGAGGACACAGACAGGAAAAATGGTCATAGCAGATAAAGACAGAAGGACGGAAATTCTGAGTCAGGGCAACAGACAGAGAAAGAGCGGGTCAGATAAATATGGAATAAGTGAGACAGGGCGAATAGAGACAGAAGGATGGGCGATACTGAGAGAGAAGAGACGAAGAGAGGTGAGAGATGTAATTGAAATTTCCAGTTATACCTGGACAGCATTTCAAGTTGTTTAAAGATCTGAAATTCATAAAGATTGGTAGTTGACATATTTTAAAAAATCCTACCCATCTACATATCAATTTAATTATCTTTGCCTCCACCCAAGCATAGATTAAGTACTTTACCTATCAGTCTTCTGGCATTTATTATTATTATTGTAAAAAATACCTTACCTGACCAGGACCACAGTAGCCGCATGTGTTTGGACTATATGGAGGACTTCTGACCCTCCAGTGCCTACCTCATTGTCATCTCTTCCACTGGACCCGCATCTGGTGGGGAAGAGCGGGAACACTCACCTTGGTGAAGTAGACTGACAGAAAAAGATCAGCCTGGCTTGTGGGAAACTGTCATATATCAAAAACAACTTTGCTTTTATACCGAGAAGAAAACCCACAGTGTGGAAGCCACCTCTCTCTTCTAATAATCCAATTTTTTTCGATGACTGTGTGCACTTATTATCACTGGGTGGGGGGGGCTCTCATAGTTCTCTCTCTCTCTCTCTCTCTCTCTCTCTCTCTCTCTCTCTCTCTCTCTCTCTCTCGTTTCTCCTCTTCTTGATTATGTGACTTAAACGGAAATTTTGAAATTTTGGTTTTTCTCTTGCCCTTTACAAGTCATCTGAAAATATTTCTTCCCCTCACCACAGAGGTGAGAGCTATCAATGAGATAACAGGACTCATGAGAAACCACAGTTTTTTTTTAAACAAAAGTGTGTAGAGTTAGGAAAAACAACAAAGGAAAAGAAATCAAATAAATCACAGGGCGCCCTGGGTGTTCACAGACCCTACTCTGTGAGTGAGA